CATATGTACATGGCATACATGATTAACTTACTAAGCAATAGCTCACCCGAGTTCTCATGATGTAGGGGTGAAGCATACGGAATGATGGCCATATTTTCCATAGAGCTTGTTATTAAGGGAACTCCCCCTTCTTTCGACAAGTGTATCTTACCAACTACTGCAAGGTGGACCTACTTCATGTTGTCGTATTACTTATTCTTAATATTCTGGTTTATGTATTACGTATGGCTACTTTGTTTTATATGATAGTTAATATAATGAATACATAAATGGTTAGCTAATAAAAGAAAAAATAGACTTGTAAATAACTAAATAGTGTGGTACTAAACCGATGATCATGTAAAACGAAAAATAGGTTGTACGTCAATCAATTTTGGACATGTTAAATATGTAATAACATAGTAGTGTGTAGCTGTAGTTTCGTAGTCAATATCTACATGCTATTGTTTAATAATAATGATATGAGTAGTCAAGTTATATAATTAGAAGATGATAATTAATCAAGAAAAAGGAGTAGACTATCGAATAACAGTAACAACTAGATAAATTTATTCGACTAATAGAAAAAGACTTTAACAAAACTAAGAAACACGGATCTTGTTCTTTCGGTCTATACTATCAAAATAAAATGCTAAAACAAAAAAATTTAATAATGTATTTTGGACTGAAATTTATATGGAAGGTAGGACCTATTAGTTATTTAATAGAGCTTCGCAACAAAAAGCATACCTAATAACACCATAGGGAGGACACAATGCCTTGTGTTTTACACTCACTGTGAACCATGATGGTAATATCCTCAACTTATTTAGGCCCTAAGTCGTGGGTGTTACGGTGAAGGAATCGAAGTTGATCCCGACAAAGTCAAAGCTATTTAGGATATGCCATTATCATTAACTATGAAGGAAGTTAGAAGCTTTTTTAGCCGAATGAATTACATTGCCCACTTTATTTCTCAACTAACAAATACATATGAGTCTATCTTCTAGTTGTTATGAAAGAAAAATCCTAGTATATGGGATGAGGAATGCCAAAAAGCCTTCGATTGGATTAAGCAATACTTGTAGAATCCACCATTATTGGTCCCGCCAACACTTGGAAGACTCGTTGATTTTGTACTTGTAAGTGACGTAAATAGACTTGAAAAGCGTCCTAGTTAGCATGATGAGTTAGGAAAGAGAGAATAAGCCATTTACTACTCGAGCAAGAAGTTCATTGGTTGTGATTCAATATATAGTGTGTTTGAGAAGATATATTACGACTTGGTATGATGCGCATGATAACCGAGGAAATAAATGCTCTATTACACTACTTGATTGATTTAGAAAATAGATGTGCTCAATTATATTTTTAAGAAGCCATACATGTCGAGCCAAATTATAAGATGACAAGTTATGTTGTCTAAATATGATGTTTTGTACATGACGAGAAAGGCAATTAAAAGAAGTGCAATAGTTGATCATTTGGCAGTACAACACAATTGATGGCTATGAGCTTTTGAAATTTGAGTTTCTCGATGAATCGATCATAGTTTCTCACAAATTTCCTTGGAATATGTTGACAAGTGCTAAAATAATTAGCAAGTCTAAGAGGATGTTTAATAACCTATTTAAGTAGCTTAAAAAATTAAGTTGTAGTACTTAATAGAGAAAGTTTGTTTGATAACCTAAATAATTTCATATTAAAAATTTAAATTCGAGTCAAAATCTACTTAATCGGTAAGTTAAAATTTTTAAATTATTACTTTTTTATTAACACACTAAGTTGATAGATTTTTAAAATTTTTCAAATATGACTATGTCACCCTTATATATTCTTATAAATTTAGCTATACAGATCAATTGAAAAACAATCTCTATTATCCCCATTACTAAAATAAAAGAAATCTTCTTCATTATCGATGTTTCTATCCCGAAATCTGAAAACATCACTTCCTTTTGTTGTACAACAAGGAAAAGGATAAAAGGATTTAGGTATATATGGATATAAATTGCCTATTTCAAATCCATCACAGGAAGGATTTGATCGCCTTATTCATATCATGATTGGCCGTATAGGATCTTTGATGCATGTCATAGAGTCACAACAGAAACAAACGTTGAATAGGGTGCCATGTTCTTCTTCTTCTTCTTTTCAACAAAGAAAGAATACTTTCTCCCTAGGTAAAGATATCCAGCTCTTTGTACGGTAGTTTCTTTTCTCTTTGTTCGCTGCTGCCTGTGTATGGTATATAAAAGAAAGATGAATTTTGAGAGCAAAATGATATAGTGTTTTGTAAGGATGGAATAGTTGTAGTCTTATAGGAGGATAAAGCAACTTTTTTATTTACTCTCTGCTTCTGTATTTGGGTCCTACATCTGTAGTTGCAGCGTCGATAGGATCATCCAATTTTGTCATGATAAACTCCCTTTTTGTATCTGGGTTTCTTTTATTTGAGAAGTCTAGGGCTTAATAAGTGATGATGGGCTTGACAAATTTAAAAGGAATTGATACCCATTAGGCCATTATTGGCAACAGGGTGCTTTGTATTTAAAAAGAATTGATAGAATTTTTCGTGCTGACATGAATGATAGCAAAGCCTGTACACGTCATGGATAAATTAATTGAAGAAAAAGATTATAATGCCCTTAAGATCATATCGTCCAATCTGATGCTATTGTTTATTTTTCGAGGTTTTGCCATGCACCATAATGTTAGAAAACCTATGTTACAGCCTAAAGCAATAGAAATTACCTGAAAAATAATTTCTAACATTATGTTTTATTTTGTGCTTGATATGATAATTAATTTTATCTTAAATCGGAATTAATTTTTATTAATAATCATTTTTATAGAATTTTTATTTGTTTATTTATTTATTTGTACGAGAAAAACACATTTATGTATATAGTTTTATTTGTGTTAAAAAATATCATATCACAATTACAAGGTTCAAATTGTTATATATATAATCTTAATATATTCAGCAACAGTATTTATCAAATAAGCTTATTATATTCATTATTTAATTTTTAGTAAATATCAAACAACTTATCGGGAATATATTCAATACTTAATTATTCAATACTTAACGGATTCGATCTTAATTTTTAATTTTATCAAACACTTCCTAACTCTATAAGATACAAATGAAGTAAGACCAAACTAAATACAGATGCTAAACCAAAAATCAGTGGACTAAACAAACCCAAAAAAACTCTACCATCTTGAATGATCATAGAATGCTCTCTTTTATGACAAACCCAAAAAAAGAAAATGAACAAAGAAAAATGAGAAACTATGGACATTCATATATAACACTTAAAAGTTTTCCATCAATACTAGTTTATTAGAAAATTATCTTGAAAAAACAGACCTGTTTGACTTGAAAAAGAAGCATTTATTGTCTATATTGGAGTTAGAAGCTATTGCTGAACAACCACAAGTAATCTTTTTCCATGCCTATTGCTGTTTATATAATGAAGCAAAGAATGCCAAGATGTAGTAAATATACTGACACTACCATTACGAAGGATAGAGAATAATGCAGGTTATTATTAATCTAAATACGCTTGAAATGTAGACAACTGCAATGAATAATGATTACTTTATGAGAGTTTTGGAGGCTCTCCAACGTTGGTTAATCCATCAGCCACGGCATGACCTTGGCAAGAGAGCCAACTGTTATGGAGTACTTGGATTCCTAACAAAGGAAAATCTATTTCTCATGGACTCGGAACTAAGAAACAAATCATATTTAGACAGATAAAAAAAATTAAATGGGCGCTTTAATATTTAATTTCTCAATTTTTGAGCAAAGAAACACAAATAACACAGCAAAACCTCTTTGCCATTGCTTGAACAATTAAACACAGACTATAACTAAATACCCAAGCCAAGCAAATAACTAATAATCTGAAAAATAAGCAACCAATCACAATCATACAAAAAACACATAGATTTTTACGTGGAAAACCTCCTCGGTTTGAGAAGGAAAAAACCACCGGATCGGAGTTCACAATAACTTCCACTATCAACAATAATAGGTACAAGGAGTCCTCTCTAGGCTAAATTAGATGAATAATCAGCCGCAAAAATCAAAGATTACATACTCTTGACAAACCACATCAAAAGATGATACACAAAGAAAATAAAAAAAACCAAGTTTAGATTTCATCGAGAAAACAACATTATTACGAGCATAATGTCTCGCTCTTCGAGACTCAAAACCAGATCTCCACCATCCAAAATGTGCGCCTATCTCTCCCGAACGTGCCCACCAAATTTGAGCTCGATCCAACGGTTAATGAACCAAAAACTCAATCCTTTTCTTTTATTTTTACCTAATCTTATTTCAAAATAAAAAAGAATATAAGATTTATTTGAAACTACCAAAATTACTCTATAAATGATTAAAAATTCCTTCTCCACATGTGCTCTAAGATTGAGCTCATGTAAACAAATCTTTGAGCCATTATCTAACTAGGAGGGAAATCCAACACAAATTTATTATGATTATGATGTTGGGCATTAATTTTGAAATTTAAAATAATTTAAAAATGAGGTTTACCAGCCAATCGTAAGAGTTGTGATCTAACTCTAAATCAAAGAGAGAGAGGTCTCCTCTACCGGCAAAACATGAAGCTAATCAGGTTAGGACAGAAATATACACCAACATCAAACATATGCTGTAATTCAAAGGCCAACGCAGTCTCCTATTAGTAGAAATAAAAGGTTAGAAAAGAAACATTAAGGTCCATCCACAATTCCATACATAATTAACAGAAACTAGCTAATACAGAACACAGCACAGGTAGTGGTCTTGATACATAGGTTTGATTTGGACCATCTTGCCAACATCTTTGGGCAGATTAAGACATAATTTGCATACAAAAGAAACATCAAGGTCCATCCACTGTACATGTTGAACATCAACTCCTTCCTTTGCCCCATTATTTTTTCCATCCAAACTATACACACATTGACCATTGTCCAAGACACAGAAAGCTTACGGCTTTACCTCATTCGGCTTTAACCCTGATTGCCTTCGTTTCTTCCATTCTCCCTTTCTTTTTGCTGTGAATTTGAACATTGATCATGCCTTGCTGGAAATGCAATACACAGGTGTCCCCAGCAACCAATCCATTTGCTTCGGAGAGCTCATACCACCCCTTGCCCAAATAGACATGACGCCTCTTATCTGATGGGCGAATGCCTACTTCCCATTTCCTTCCCTTCGGGTCTTTAATCACCACAACTTTCTTTTTGGCCAATCCTGTTTCTCTAACAATATCCCTTGGTACAAACTTTCGGAAAAATAAATAAAATCTTGTATTAACAATGTAGCTTATATAGTTAAAGAAAAAAAATATGCAAAATGGTTGCATATATACATGACAAAAAAAAAAAAAAAAAAGGGCCAAACAAACCCTCCTTGTAACGATGAGAAAATGATTGGAAGAGAAGATGAATTTAATTACCATGTCGTACTTTTGATAGTCCTTCAAAACTTGTATAAAAACAGGATGATTTGGTGTGAAAGAACGAATTGCTTCAGCCACTCTTTCTCTCTCACCAATTCCACCAATCTCTTCACCATTTGCACCTTGCATGACATAAAACTAGTTGGTCAATTATCAATGACAATATAACTAGACGTAAAGTACATACCATGAGTTATAAATACTTAATCAATTAGCTCACCAATTCTTCCACCACTATCAGGAGCTTCAGTTTTCACAAACAAATAAGATGATCCAGCTTGATCATGTTTTTTGGTGGGCTTTTCTTGGTTTCTTGCAATACCAACACTGGCTTGTCGAGGCTTGGTAGGGTTCCTGTTAGGGTTAGAAGCTACTTTCTCCTTAACACAACCACTCGGGTCATATATCACCACATCAAAGGTTCTATCACCAACAAAATTGAAGACTAGAAAGTCCCCAACTTGTAAATCATGATATTTCACAAAACTTTTCCATCCACGCGTGAAGAAGTAACCATCTTTTCTGTCCTTCATAGTTACAAGATATGGCTTGCCCATGTTAGATTTTAAGATGAACGTCTTGGCCATGAGCTTTGTGAACCTTCTCACAAAGGCTGCAGGAATCCTCTGCCACAAAGGCCATTAATACATAAGCTTGAGTGAATAAATACCAGAGATACTAGCATAACTCAAAACTAAGTAATAAATACTGCTACTGCAAGACTGTTAAAAAGTGAAGGCACTTTACAAGTTCATTGATGAAATCACCAATCAGAACTTTGAAGAATGAAAAATAATTCTGCTTTCAACTGAGAGAGGAGAAAACAATTTTATCTGTTCTGATTCATCTTCCCTAACTGCTATATGAGCCGATTGGCATAAGCAAAAATATGGTATAGCCAGTTCCCACTTATAGCTCGAGAGCTTACCAATCTAGAACCAGTTCCAACATGTGATGGCTTCATAGCAACCTTGAAAGAAGGACTTTCAGTTTTGAAATCAGATTTTCGAAGAGCTTCAGCTTTCTCACTGTTTTGCAGTGGTCGAATACTTCCAGTAATGTTTGGCATGCCTCCACCACCTCTTGCAAATGGTGAAAAATCTTCAGTTTCTTCCATTTTTGGCTCTTGAAATTCTCCATCACAAAGAGGCTCCTCATTATCATTGATCAGGTTGAAAGGATAGTCTATCTCTGTAGCACTCTTATCAAATATGAGTACGTTGAAATGACAACTACTCTCATGTTCAAAAACTACTAAGGAACCTGGGAATAGGGAATAATACTCGGCAAATTCTTTCCAACCATTTTGTAACCAAATTTCACCACCACACTTGACCAGCTCCACTTTCCAATTTGCACCAGTGGGGACTTTAAGATTAACTGAGTTTGATAGATCATTCCCATAATCTCTCACAACCTTTCTTGGAATATGCTGATAAAATCTTCAGAAATTAGCAGGTCAAACCAATTCAAGTGCAAATCCTCAACAAGAATTAACCAAACCAAAATGGAGAAAAAAAACCCAACAAAATTTTCCTATCTTTGATGGAAATCTGGTTATTCCTTAATGCCTAATTATGAAAACAAACAGCAAATAAAAAAACAAACGTGAAAGATTGATTTGAAAAAGAACTCACAAACAACATTTAAACAACAACCAGTACGTGCATGATACATATATGTATATGGAGATATATTTGATTTGATTTTCTTCCCCTTAAATTCTTTTAAAAACATATGTCCTCTGTTCTGGATTGTGAGCTTCAAAATGCTTGGCAAAATAACAAAGAGAAAGCAGAGAAGACTTACCAGCTTCCCATTGGTAATAGTTTCTTGGAGAATTATCTTGAAAAAGCGGAGCCTGGCTGCTCCGAACAATCTGTTGTCTCTATTGAAATTAGAAGCCATTATGGAAGAAGATCTCCGATATTCACTTTAATTGCTTTGTTTTGCCAGAATGTACATAAGCTAAACCTATATCAACAGAATAAAAGTAATGGTACAATTTACATTTGTATCAAATCTTGGGTTTGGTGAATCTTAAAAACAAACAGGAGAGAGATAAAATGTGACAGAAAAACATACCAAAAATTTATAGTTTCTGACAAATGCACTAATGGCTTGTATTTTTTCAATATCTTGCATCAAACTCGAGGCACCACCCACAATGGTTAACTCTGTTTACAATGTTTAAGTTACTCAAAACACATTCTAAAAATTTATAAATAGAAAAGATAATTTTGAGGCAGAACTAATATGGTAAGCTAAAAACTTAGTTTTGGTTTCTTGGTATCTGTGTACAAAGTTAATCATGATGACTGAAATATTTGACTGGTTTCCATCGCTAGCCTAAATAAATTGAAAATCAAGAAGCCAGCAGATGGGAAGACAAAGCGTGGACAAGGCAAGTGCTAACCATGGTTTATAGACACACAGATTCAAACAAGAAACAGTAATACGTGAGTTTGGCTAGAGAGACTAATTGAAGAGTTGGAATCATATTCAGATCACAAAATTCAAAATATCAAATGCATTCGAGAGAGTTACTAAAAACATATTAAAATTTAAAAAAAAAAAAACTAAAAAAACTAAAAAAAGCGGTGCTATAACTATTCATTTACTGTAGCTATACATCCAAAATTCTTATTCATATATGTTTTTTTTTGCATTTTGATCCTTCTATTTTTGAAAGATAAATTAATTAGTCCTTTTAATTTTTTTATTTTTCTTTTCGTAAAGAGCTAGGCTGTCATTTCTGGGTTGCCTCCTTTTTTTTTTTCTCTCTGTTTTTTAAAGGGCTGGGCTATCATTAAATTTTTTCCAGGTTGGCCTCTCCCTTTTTTTTTTTTTTTGGGCTGGCCTCTTTGTTTTATATATATAAATAATCGAAACCCTAAAGGAGTGCATGGCCACGCTAAATCATCAAATACCTCACAGAATTATAGCTACATTTCTTTCTCTTTTTTTACAAAAAAAAACAATATATTTAAAATTAATAAGATCATCAAAGCATTCACTAAATTCAGACCACGACAAAAACATATCTAAAAAAATTCATGAATGATTTTATTGAACAAAATTTTGCTGTATTTCTTATGGTACAGATGAAAGTATGCAAGTTCAAGTTGGTCATCTTGACTTTTTTTTCTTTTTTAAAAGGCTGAGTTGTCATTTTTTTTTTCGATCTGGACTCTTTTTTTTGGGCTGGCCCCCTCTTTTTTTTTTTTTTAAAGGTTAGGCTATCATTCACTGTAGCAGTACCATTTTTTTCCCTTTTAACGGTTGGCCTCCTTCTTTTTTTCTTTTTTTCTTTTTTAAAGGAAAAAATTAATAATTAGTTAAAAAATTTATAGTTTATATATATATATATATATATATATATATATAATTTATCGAAACCAATTTTATAACGAGTTTTTATTTAAATCTATTCACTTCGATATATTCCATGCCGTTTAAGTAAGCTTTTTATATATTTTTTATTTATTTTGTATACTACGAGTTTGCTAAGTAACATCTATATAATCAGAATTTATCGAAACCAATTTTAAAATAGTTTTTATTTAATTTTATTCACTTCGATATATTCCATGCAATTTAAGTGGGTTTTTCATTTTTTTATTTATTTTATATAATTTGAGTCTGCTAAGTAATATATATATATATATATAGTTTTGTAATATATAAATTCTAATGAGTGGGAGAGAGAGCTAGAAGTTTATTTTAGATAATTTGACTTAATTTTTTTTAAAAATGATAATTAGTTAAAAAATAATTATGCTCTATTTTTTTAAAAAAATAATAATTAGTTAAAAAACTCACAAGTTTTATTTGATTATATATGTATATAATCGGAATTTATCGAAACCAAATTTATATTTTTTTTAAATCAATTTTCTTTGATATATTCCATGCGATTTAGGTGGGTTTTTTTATATTTATTTTATATACTCTAAATCGTCAAGTACGATATATATAGTTTTGTTAGAAATTAATGATATCCGCACACATAACATCAATTTTTTATTTTTTATTTTTTCATATTTTAAAATCTATATTTTTAAATAAAATAATTTAATTAATGTTTTGATACGATCTCTAAATTATTCAAATACAATATTTTTATACTAATATTATAAATTATATTGTTAATTAATATATATAGATCGAATAAGTTCGATTAATCTATAGATTCGATTTATATTAATCTTCAAAAATAAAACATCTACTCATTGGGTTGCTTGAGTTAGTCATTCACGAGTCTCATTGCTATAACATCCTTCATAGTCCCATTACTCGTGGCTTTTTTTTTTCGAGTCGGCATCCCTTTTTTTTCTTTCTTTTTAACGAGTTGAAGTTGTCGAAATTTTGTTTGTCCTTTCTTTCTTAGTTTTTATTTCAAAAGTATATATATATATATATATATATATATATATATATATACTTTTGAAATAAAATGTTAGAACATGATTGTTTTATTTTTTAAGATATATTATTATAATTTATACGATTGATTATTTTTATATGAAAATGTCGTTATTGCTTATATAAATTCTAGTGAGAGAGAAAGAGCTAAAAATGTGTTTTAAATAATTTAACTTCATTTTAAAAAATAATAATAATCGGTTAAAAAATTAACTTGACTTGTTTTTTTTTTCAAAAAATTAATAATTAGTTAAAAAAAATTCACGAGTTTTATTTGGTTATATATATATAATCGAATTTATCGAAACCAATTTTATAGTAGTTTTTATTTAGATATATTCACTTCGACATATTCCATATCGGAATTTATCGAAATCAATTTTATAATAGTTTTTATTTAGATCTATTCACTTCGACATATTCCATATAATTTAAGTGGGTTTTTTATATATATATTTATTTAGTTTATATGCTCGAGTCTACTAAGTACACACACACCAACTAGATGCGCCCTGCTCTTTTTTTTTTCCTTCCTATAATTTATTTTATATTTTTAAAAGTCCGAGCACCAATCTCATGATAGAACAAAAAAAAAAAGTTGGCTAAATTATTTTAAATCTTAATGTGTTTTAGGATTGGATCACCAAGAGGCAAAAGGAAATCCTTAAAAGAATATACATATTGTCATAGAATAACTGGATCTCCAATAAGTGTTGTATAAGTTAAGCGATCATATATAATTAGTCCCTTCACCGAGAAAGAAAACATATATATTATTGGTCCCTTTTAATTTTCCTGAATCAATATTAATTATACCTTTGACATTGATGTTAATATACATATCCGATTATTTTATTCTTATTTTTTAAAATTTATTTCTTCAATTATTTGTTTCTTTTTAATTTTCTCATTAAATTAATTTTTTAATTTTTTGATATAATTTTATTTGTTAATAAATTTGGTTTTTTAATTTGGAATAAAATTTTAGAACGTCAATGTTTTATTTTTAAAAAATATATTATTATAATTTATACAATAAATTATTTTTATATTTTTAAATGAGTGGTTTACTTTTACACACACACACACACACACACACACAGATATATATATATATATATATATAGAGAGAGAGAGAGAGAGAGAGAGAGAGAGAGAGAGA